GTGGCCAGCGATTGGTCAGGAGAGCGGATTTCAACGCGGGCAGTCACGTCAACACGTTTTTCCGCGTCCGCTGTAAGATAGTGGACCCCAGCGGGGAGAAGAGGAGGGATGCTGACACTGTGGCTAAACGACACGTCACCATGTTTGGTATGAGGCACCTTTCTTTTGTTTGCCAGTTTTGTTCATTGCATGGTCTTCTTCCTTTGTTAACCTACTACAAGCTTTTTCCCATTCAGCTTTTGTAAAACAATTACTGTAAATAATTACATGTTTGTGGGGTTTAGGGTGTTAGAGGGAGTTGAGATAACCATAGTAATTTAAGGCCACAGCAATTTAATTTGTTGTCTCTCGGATTTGCCACCTCATTTTTTCTGATGCAAAAAATTCAGGCTCTGAATCAACTCTAAAATGCTCATATTTTGGCCCCCAATATTGAAGGAAGTCTCTTCTCTTTTGAGTTGTTCCTGTTTTTCCGTCTATCAATGCACTGGGTTGATTAAAAGTATGAAATTCATTGTTTGAATTGCAAACTGGCCTGGTAATTTATGGCTCCTGAAATAGCATTTAGGGCTTTTTTTTGCCCTGTCACTTCATAATTTTTCTGAAAAAATCCAAGAACCAACAAATCAAATTGGTGTGGCCTAATGTATTGGAAGGCAGAGCGTTGGCATCTTGGCATTGTGATGCATTCACAACTCCCCACATACAAGAACAGCAAATATCATTTTCACAGTATGACTATGATATGTATTCCTTGTTGCAGCCACCCTGGATGGTGGTGTGGGAGCCCTCCTCCCCATGGCTGAGAAGACCTACAGGAGACTACTGATGTTACAGAACATCCTCATGACACACATGCCCTTCCCTGCTGGACTCAACCCTAAGGCTTTCAGGTTAGAACACTTCCCTCCATCTCTTTTCTGTGGTGTTTTTGTACTCCGATGTATACATGTATCTACAGTGCCACCTAGCAGGAAAAGAGAGTATAGCAACCTGAAAGAAGGATTTGGTACTATAGCAGCAGTCTTAGTCTTGTTTTGTACTCTTACAAAAATATATGTAGAACGAAAATTGTGATCTCAAAAAGAAAGGCCTTAAGGGTTAGCCTGGGTGCCATCATATGTAAAGGATATATAGTTTTTTTAAAATTATATTTCACCTGACTACTTTTGAACTTTGAACTTTATTTCGCCTTCACATCGGCGGCACATACGGTCGCAATGCCGTGTGCAGAATTACAAGATTAAAAGCAAATTGTGTACAAAATAATGAGAATAATGAGAAACTTAAACAAGGAAAAACTGAACTAATAATACCCCGGGTATAAATAATATAAAGGCAATAAAGCATTGTTACAAGAGGCAGGTATATGAATGGGGGGAACATTGTGGTTGTGTCAAAATGAACTTAGGATAAACCAAATGAAGGTAACTGTATTGCTTACGAGACAGATGTGTATGTAAAAATAAGGTAATTATGAAGGTACAAGACTCTTGAACTTAAGGAATGTACCATATAAGAACATAGTGTTAACTTAAGTAATACAATAATGTAACTTAGGATAAACCAAAATTAATGAAGGATAAACCAAATGAAGGTAACTGTATGACTATCACCTCTTCAGGATGTCAAACCTGTGACCAGACTGTAAGGTTTGAACCACTCACACCGGGAAGGTCCCCTACTCTTTTCGATAAGTGTGGTGGGTTCTTCTCCCAAACACGGGACCTCTATTTAACGTCCTGTCCGAGGGACGTCCCTAACCGAAGCTAGGTACTCATTTCCACCTGAGTGAAGTGAGGGAAGTCGTGTTAAGTGACTTTCCTAAGGGCACAAGATCGGTGACACCGGGCAGGATTTGAACCCAGGACCTCTTGGGCCTAGACCGAACACGCTACCGCTATGCCACATGACCCCACCAGTATGGCCCTACACTGTAGAAATCTCCCGTTGTTTTTATTCCCACAGAATGCTGAAGCACAACCACAGATCATTGATCAACGCATGTCGGAACATCCTGGACGGGGAGCTGCTGTGGAAGTTCCTACACCTCAGTGTGGTGGAGAGGAGCGAGCTGGCCAGGAAGATCGGAACTTCTCCTGAAACTGTGAGTCTACATGGATAAAATACTTTTTTGAACCAGGTTACCCAGTGGGCAACCTACGGCAAAAATTAGGTTGCCCATCAGAATTTTAGGTTGCCCCACCTATAAGTTACTACTTTCCTCAAATTAAGTAATGTTACATACATAAGCCTTTGACAATATTTCTAACAGCCTTTAGTTAACTGATACTTTTTGATTGACTTTCTGATACTCTAAGATAATTTTTTTTGGGGGGGGGGATTCTTAAAATTTAGGTAGCACACTTGGCAACGTAGGTTCAAAAATAGGTTGCCCCAAGTAAAATTTGGTCGCCCGGGGCAACTGGGCAACCAGGTATTTTTTACGCTGTCCTTGGACAAAACCTTTTATGTAAACACCAAATGACACAGAAAACAAGGAGAAGTCGTAGACATCATCCCTCCATGAAATAGCTTGTTATTTTGTAATCGTTTGGTGTATTTCAATAGCAAACTCTATAACTGTTATAGAGTTTGCGAATATACTACTGGGGATGGTACCCAGGCTACATTTGCCTGTACATGTAGGTCAATGACCAGGCAAATGACCTGCAGACCAGACAAACAAGATTTATTTTCCTGCACTCTGTCTAGGGCCGGTAAAAATAGATAGGGCTGCCTGCCAGCTGGAGGTATAAACAAAAACACTCTGTCCCAACTTTTGGGTCAAACAGACCATCCTATTATGAAGTAGGGGTGAAAAAGTGAAAATCCTTTTAAATTAAGCAATAAAAATATGCGACAACCTGCTAATGCACTCTAAAACACAAAGAGACTCAACAACTACCCACATACCAAAAATCATACCAAACCATCCCCCAGATTTTCCAAACATTCAACACAAAAAGTCCAACATTAAACATTTTGTAAATATCAAACGCAAACAGCTAGGGGACCCAAATTTAAACCACTAAACCATGGTAATAACAACTACATGCTACCTTAATATCGCACAAACAGTCCATAACGCGAAAACAACAGAATAAAAAAATTAAACTGCAGTACCAAGGTCAATCACCAGGGGCTCAAAGTCAACCTACACAATCTCCAAGGCCCCATCCATCAATCTGCCAAATATCGTACAGTTCCTTCTCACCGATCTTCAGATATCAGACCAAACATGAAACGGAGTAAAAACAGTACCCCCATTTTCATGGAGGGTAAAAAGTCTGTAAAATATATACTATGTACAAAAGTATACATACAATATAGTCACTTGAAGTTTGTTTCAACCATGTTGACTTTGAAATTGAGTCTGTACGGGCATCCAAAAGTGCATTTTTGGAGACTCTCTAGCAAGCTTCCCAATCGCCCGCCTCAGGCATCTCTATTTGCATCTCTGTTTTTTTTTTTTGCTTTTCTGTGCTTTTTCCTGAGCTGATGTTGCCCTGTGATGTCAGCTCAGGAAAAAATACAAAGATGCAAAAATAAAACATAGAGATGCAAATCCTCTGCCGGGACTGGCTTGTGCTAACTTTTCAGAGACAGGGCCTTGAAATTTCAACTAAAACAGGAGAACTGTGCATATTTATTGTAAATGTGCCTGTTAGCCAGGTAATACTAGTTATGTCAACTACAATCAGATAAGGTCGTATTTTGGTGTCATGAGCACTTTAAGCTCTCCAAATAATGAAAGAGAACTTAAGATGCAATGGTATCCCATAAAAAATTTGCTCTGTAATTGTTAAAGTTTATGCCTGGGTAATTGAATTAAATGTGATGACGCCATACAACTTACATATTTTTTTTCAATCCTGTATAGATCACGAAGGATAAAAATTTTCTTTTCAATCCTGTGCAGATCACAGAGGACCTGATGGACATTGACAGGCTGACTGCACACTTCTGATCTGACATGGAGAGCACAAGTATCTGTGGCTGTACTACAGGATACATACAAGTCAACTTTACTCAATTACTGTTACGGTACTAGTCAACAAGCAAGTGATGAAAGGGTCTATACAGTCCTGATTTTCCCCAGCTTCTTGGAGATTAGGCTATACAACTGGAAGACACAATTCCTAGATTAGAATTGTTAAGTATGCTGGTTTAAAAGTGGTCCAGAGGTATCTTTGTCTGAAGTTACCATGTACGTACCACATTGACAGTGTAGTGAATTGTTTTAACATTTCAGTACATGTATTACTGCTTCTATATCATGTACATACTGAGAAATGTAACTGGATGTTGAAATAAAACTTCAGTGAACAAACACTGGTCACAAACTTTAGGGACTTAAGTATTCCATTAATAACGTTAGTCCTGGAAATATTGTACCATAGGTTATGTGGTAGGTGATATCATCAGTATGCTACATGGAGCAAGAGAGTACTAGTATTCAGTAATGTTGTCAGGGCTGGTATAATGTGGTACATGTAATTGATATTGAGAAGAGAATCAATATTTTGTAACCCTAACAATGTATGTCAGCAATAAACAACTTTGTACAGTTTGCATATAAAAGTTACTTATTCGGTGTCAGTCTCATAACTATAAACATGCGTAATATATGTTGTTTCCACTTGTAATATCACTAGCTACATGAACAGTACATCCCCATTCTTCTAATTATGTTTACCGAAGGAAAACATATTGTTTTTGCTGTTTCTTCTTCAATGACCTGAACCAGACGTCTGTCACCATGGTAACTAGTGTTTGGTTACATCATGTTGCAATTTTATAGCAGGAAGGATTTAGACTCCTGTCACAATATACATTGTACATGAAGTTTTTAGAGTAGACCATCTGCAAAGGTAAACGCATTTGCTTTGTTATCTTTCTAGTTTACTTCATTTTTTTAAGTATCTGAAGTTGTCAAGTTAATTTTTTCCATAATAAGTTCCCATATTCTCTCAAGGAAAAACACTTGGCTGCCACACTTATTGTTCTTTTGCCCCATTGTCCTGTGGTTCTTCAGGCTTTTTGATGACTCTTGCGTCCTCTGGAATCAGGTTGGGAATGCCGTTAACGATGGGATAGGCCACACTCAGCTCATCTGACACCAGTTCATTCTTCTCTGGATCATACCTGCACATCGATAGAACTCAAGCTGAAATTTCTATATACATGTATTTTAGGCCACACCAAGTTAATCTGTTGGTTTATGGATTTGCCAGCTTATTTTTTTCTGATTTGCAGCCCCTGAATCAACTCCAAAATACCTTGATACCGTCTTCAGTCAAGTAAGGCTTCTTCCTGCCTGTTGTGGAATGATCTTAGACACTTTCTTCGTACTTAAGATGCTCCCAGTGTCGATCCAATCTTGTTTTAATCTGGTCATATTTTGGTCCCAACAGTTAAGGGAGGTCCCTTCTCTTCAGAGTTGTTACAGTTTTTCCATCTATCAATGCAGTGGTTTGATAAAAGGTTTGAAGTTTAATGTTTGAATTACAAACTAGCCTGGTACATATGTTGACTTCATGGCTCCTATCATGCCATTTGGGGCTATCATAGGATGCCCTGGTCTGTTTTTTTGTTGTTGTTTGTTTTTTGCCCTTTCGCTTCATATTTTTCCTGCCAAAATCCGAGTACCAACAAATCAAGCAAAAACACGTGATTTTACCAACAACAGAAGCGATATTGCAACACAAGCAAATTATTAACGCGCATACGACTTTTTGAAGTTGATACCTGAGCGGTTTCTTCGACAGTGGACACACGACTATCTCTAGCATTTTCGTGTCGAACTCCTGACATCTAGAAGGCACTGTGCTGTGCAAAAGTCGTCTGAAAACCAAGGATAGTCGCGACGCTCCTCTCGCCATGGGCGCAGCCATCTTGGATCCACTGCATAATGAATGGGACGGATTTCTCCGTCTCAACCAATCACAGGCTCGGGTTTCACGGAGAACTGTCATGGCGGCGATAACATGAAGTTTTGATACATCTCATCGGTAAAAACACCGTGTTTGGTGTATGGAAGTAGATAAAACAGTTTGGAACCCCAGAGGTCGTTGAAGAGGTGTCAGTATGGAAGGGGATCAGAACCAAGGTAACGTATATCGTTTGGTTATGGTAATAATCTTCATCGAAAATCATGGATGGGGAGGGGGGCTGTTTGAAAAGAAGAGACTCCAAAAATTATATTTTATTCATAGACATATGTCCAACAGGGAGCTTTTAAAAGAAACATGTGATGCTACAGCTTGAGTAATTGCAGCAGGAAATATGGACAATGAGATTTTGATAACAATCAACGATTTAATGATAAGGATATATTGTTCTTGTTCTAGTTCTAGTTCTATACAATACTAAGCAATACCCCTCGCGGGGTCTAATGCTTAGGGAAGTGGTCGTTCCCCAGCGTGACCGGTGGTGGTGGTGAGGAAAAAAAAATAACAACAAACAAATAATAACAAAAACAGGTGCAATAACTATGTACTGAAGTCATGGCTGGGGATTGGCCACATTCCTACAGCTGGGTACAGCTAGGGAAGCCATAATGACTGGCTACCCCAGCTTTGAAATGTTCAACTGACTTAGCCATTACCAGATGGGCAGGTAAGGCGTTCCATTCGATCACTGTTCGTGGGAAAAAGCTGCCTCTAAAAGTCTCTGTTCTACAGTGTAGTGTGTTGAAACGTAGCTGGTGCCCTCTGGTTGGGTTTGTGTTTCTTGTAAGAATGTGGTGTAGAGGAATGGATATAAGATTGTTGACTGCTTTGTAGAGGAGGCATAGACGCTGTTGTTGTCTCCGTTGCTGGAGCGTTGGCCAACCAAGTGAGTTTTGTATGGCAGTAATGCTGCTTGAGTGTTTGTAGTTACCTGACACGAACCTTGCGGCTCGTTTTTGCACTGACTCTAGCTTATCAATTAGACTGTTGGTGTGGGCGTGTATCTGTTTGTGTGGGTCCCATACTGATGAAGCATATTCAAGTTTGGGTCGTATTAGTGATGTGTAGGCTCTGGCTCTTACCTGCTTACTTGCCCCCCTTAGATTGCGTCTGACGAACCCCAAGGTGCTGCTAGCTTTCGCAGTAATGTCATTGATGTGTGCCTTCCACCTGAGGTTGTGGCTGAGTATGACACCTAGGTAGGGATGCTGGTTGTTGTGGTTTAGCGGTTCATTGAACATAAAATAGAGATGAGCAGGTGATCTACTGGACTTGTGGATGTGGAGAATAGAGCATTTATTTACATTAAACCGGAGCTGCCAATCTTGTGACCATTTACAGAGTTGGTCCAGATCTTTTTGGAGAATTTCCTGGTCTTGACTACAGTGTATCGGGCGGTAAACAAGACAATCATCAGCAAAAAGTCTCAACTGTGATGATATGTTGGCATTTATATCATTAATGTAAATGAGGAACAACAATGGCCCCAGAACTGTCCCCTGTGGAACCCCAGCATAGTTCTCACCAGGCTGTTTGAGCGTAGGGGCCCCCTACGCTGTGATTTTGACCCCCTACGCTGTGATTTAGCCCCCTACACTGTGTTTCAACCAGCGTAGGGGTGGTTTTGGGGGGCAGAAGCTTCATTAATCTTTAAAAAAAATGAAAATATAACTTAAGAATGAAGCTATAACAAAGGGAAAACAAAATCTGTACCCCAATAAACAATAAATAGTGTCTTAAGTGGTTAATATGAGTTACAAAATTTTGGGGGGAGAATATCAGGCCCATGTTTTGGGGACTCGGTGCGTGACTCGCGCCGCAGAAAGTTGCCCTTCTATACCTGACCCCTACGCTGTGAAAAAATCCTGGTGAGAACCCTGCCCAGATTTAACCCTGACCAGACTTGACTTTTCCCCATCAACCACTACCTGTTGGTAGCGGTCAAGTAGCCAGTTTCTGATCCAACCTAAGTTTTTACCTCTAATCCCATGGTGTTCTAGTTTGTTAAGTAGTCGGGTGTGCGGAACGCTATCGAAAGCTTTGGAAAAATCGAGAATGGCCATGTCTATTTGAAGACCTAAGTCGACCCAGGATGTCAAATCATGCAGGGTTGTTATTAGTTGTGACTCACAAGAATGTCTGGTCCTGAAACCATGTTGTGTGGGGAGAAGTATGTTGTGATTTTCCAAGTGTTTCATTGTGGTTGAAAACATAATGTGTTCTAACAATTTGCAGCATACGCAGGTAAGGGAAACAGGTCTGTAGTTTGAGGGATCACTTCGATCTCCCTTTTTGAAAATAGGATTGATGTAAGCTTTCCTCCATTCCACTGGAACCTGTTCCTCCTGCAGAGACTGGTTGAATATAATGTGTAAAATGGGGCTTATTTCGATGGCGTATTCTTTTAAAATTCTACATGGAATATAGTCTGGGCCATGTGCTTTATTGGGATTTATCCCCTGCAACAGTTTCTGCACCCCTTCCAGTGTTACCTCAACCTCAGGCATGTCAGGGTAAGGACTAGCCCCTAGTTCGGGTACCTTGGTGAGGTCTTCCTCTGTGAAGATGGAGTCGTACTGCTTGCTGAGGACCTCGGCCTTCCCTCGCCCATCCACAACTAGTTTGTCATGCTGGGCTAGGGGGGCCACCCCAGAAGCTGTCTGTTTCCTATTCTTCACATATTGCCAGAATTTCTTTGGGTTGTCCAATGCCTCATCTAAGATTTCTTTTAAGTAGTCATTGTGGGCTTTTCTTATTTTCTGTTTAACCATCCTACGCATGGTTTTGAAATTTTCCCAGTCTTGTTCTTGCATCGATCTCTTGGCTCTATTATACAGCTTTTTCTTTTTCTTGATGAGCCGTTTTAGGTCTTTGTTTACCCATGGGCATTGATGTCTATTGGAGAGCAATTTCTGTGGTATGTGCTTCTGGATTAATTGCCTCAACCTGCTGGTAAAATAATTCCAGTTATCTTCCACAGTATGGTTGGATGGAACCCGCTCCTTAAATTGCTTTTCCAGGTCCTGCAGCCCATTTGTAAGGGCGGTTTTATCTGTTTTCTTGTACATATAAACTGAACGGGGTCTTTTCTTATTTGGTTTGACATGGCTTTTCATACTTACTGCCACAGCTTCATGGTCACTTATCCCCGGACAAGTACTGACATTTTCAACAAGATCTGGGTTTGACACAAGAGCCAAGTCCAGGATGTTTTGACCACGTGTTGGGGTCAAAACCACCTGAGACAGGCTAGGACCCTGAACTACCTCCAGAAATTTCTCGTTAATTCCCATCCCATATTGCGGTGTGGGATTAACAGTGGGGGGTTCTGAGTCCCAGCATATGTCGGGTAGGTTAAAATCCCCGAATAATGCAATGTTGGGTGGTGAAGGTTTTTCCACTATGTTATTTATAGATGCCTCTAACTCCTCCACATATCCAAGTCCAGTAGATGGGGGTCTATAAGCTGAGCCTATACAAAGAGGTCTATATCCTGCCTGTTGAATCATGGCCCACACAATTTCCGCATTTGAGTGGTCCTGTATGGGCGATGAGACCAGGGAGGATCTTACTGCGATAAACACCCCCCCTCCTTGGCTGTTTCTATCCTTCCTGTATATGTCATATCCCTCTGGAAAGACTTCGGCATTTGTGTAGTTGGAATCTAAATGCGACTCGTTACCACAGATTATGTCTGGGTTATCCGTAGCTATTAAAGCCCTAAACTGGGCATTTTTATCTGCCCCACCGATGCTCCTACAGTTCAATGATAAAACATGTAAGTGTTGGAGGAATCCCTTACCTTTGTCTACGGACTGGGTAGTGCAGGGAGAAGAGGTAGAGGTGGGGTTGAAGGATGGACTGGTGTCATTATCACTGAGGGTATTCTGAGAGCGGTTTGGGGATGAGTTTGCTGGAGACCAAGTATTGGTGTAGGTGTTGAGACCTGTAGGGAGATTAGATGAGTTGTGTGAGTTAACAGTGTGACTGTCCTCATCCATGTCCTGTAGAGGTCTATAAAAAGACCCCTCCCCGTCATGGATCCATGAGGCGAAGTCGAATAAACTAGAGTTGAAGTTGTTCTTGCATTTTGCAATCCTACGTGTATGCTCAACAACTGCAATTATATTAGAGTGTTTGTTTTTGTACATACAGATCTACTTTACCAGCCACTTCCTCAGCATATTAGCGAAGAAAAGGAGAAGTTGGGTTTGAAGGTATGTACAATTGCAAGGTTGAAGTCCACATTTACTAGTTTTCCTTGGCAAAACTTTCCAAGTTACTGGGTCATATGCCTGAAAATTCTAGACTCACATTGAAGGGTCAGTCTTTTGTAGGAATGTCAGAGGATCATTCCTGTTTTGGAAGAAAGCTCATATTTGAATGGATTTATAGCAGCGTCACCTGTGCTGCAGTGCAATGTGAACCAGTCAGAATTGCCCTGAGGAAGGTGACAGACGGTCAGTAAAACGTCGGCTGAATAAAAGACTTGGTTGTGTAAAAAGAGTCTCTAACTTTACTCAACAATTTCACCAACCACAGGAGCTGGACTGCCCCAAGGACAAGTTTGTGGAATCCTTCCTGGAGAGACACATCCAGAACTTCAAGCCGAGTGAGAAGAAAGATCTGAAGAAGTCTTACTTGCTGCTAGACCTCCCCTACAGGCAGAAACCTACTGTAGCCAAGAAGAAGACAACCCTGAACAGCAGGGAGAAGAGAGAGAAGAAAGTGTATGACATCCCTCCTGAACATCAGAAGTCAGTCTCTTAGTCTTATCCAGTTAGGCCTAAGAAAAAAAAATGTTGTGTTTGGCCAAGGAAAAAAAATGTTGTGTTTCCTGTTTCAGTCCAGAAAAAATTAGGGTCGGTAGGTAGGGATTATCTTATTTTATTTTTATTTTTTATTCTTTTTTTAGACTTTGCTGATTGCTGTGTTTATATAAGCAGAACATGATGAAAAATCGATTGTGCAATATTATATTTCATCACTCAGGTACTCAGGTGTCAGATCATGGAGCTTTAAACGGTCGATCAGCTCGAAGAACTTAACAGATGTCCCTAGCCCTTGCAGGGCTAAATTCAGATTCAGGTCCTGATTCAAGTCTACAGGTTTTCAGGGTTCTCCCAGGGATTTGGGAGAAAAAAAAGAAACAAAAAAGAATTCTTAAGAAAAAAAAATTAATCTGCACAAAATTTTAATTGGTTTCTATCCCTTTGTTTGCCTAAAAATCGATAGTGTGATTGTATCAATTTGAAACCCCAAAAAATTAGCTAAATCGGCGATTTAAGGTTATTGCGCAATGGACGTGCCCTATGACCTTCAACCTTTGGGGGTCATGCAGGCGTCAACAGCGCCCTCCCCCATGCCTTGCCAGTCCGTTTTCGTGGGCAAATTTCTGCTTTTTTAGAGGTTTTGCGACCTAAAAACTCACATCAGAGGAAAAATACACCACAGACGACATTTTCATTGTAAATATCGATAAATGGACCAGGCATTTTTCTGTCCCGCTGCCGATTTTGCTGATTTTCGCCATGTGCTTATATTTTGTTTACGTCGATAGCTACCTTTCCTCGTCCGGTTTTATGGGCAAATTTCCGCTTTTTTAGACGTTTTGGGACTAAAAGACCGACAAAGGGGGAAAAATAAATCATATACATTATTTTTATGAGAAATACTGCTATCATGGACCAGACATTTTTCTTTCGTGTTGCCGAATTTTTGCGGCCGCCGCATGCTGATGGTGCAGTACGGTAGGGAATTTTCTACGATTAGTTCGTAAATGTATCGGCTTTTAAACTTATTTTCGGAGTCGATGGCTTTGTTTTACAAACAAATCAGACAAATTATTAGCGTTGTTTACACGACTTCAAAACGCTAGCGGGGCGCCCGATGTTCCACCAATGACAGCGATTCTCTCGGTAGCGTCGTGCAAAATGTTTTGGTTCAGCAATATGCAGGGGTCCACACAAAAATAAGGCTAGGGTCGGCGTTTTTTTTTTAGGGTCGGTCGGGAAACAGGAAACACAACATTTATTTTCCTAGGCCTTTCCTGTTTTCCTATAGCTACTGACCCTAGAAAAACCTGCCGATTTTTCTTAGTTTTTTTTTTAAGGAATCCCAGCAAGTACATACATTTTTAGAACTGATAAATGTTTTCTAGCTCTGTGATCTGATACCTGAGAGATGAAACATTTTACAACCAGTTTACCAACATTGATAATATAAGTGTCCTCATGCAAGGATGATATGACTTGGATGAACTTGGATCACTAGCCAAAGTAAAAAAAAAATGAAGAAAACAAAAAGATAATCCCTACCTATATAGCTACCGACCTTAATTTTTTCAGGACTGAAACAGGAAACAACATTTTTTTCCGAGGCCTTAGGCCACACTGATTTAATTTTATGGATGACATCCATGCACACATTGATTTTCACCTGTTCTAAAAAAAAAAAAAAACTATTCCAAGGCTCTGGCTTGGGTAACATACTCTGTAGTCCATGGTAGCTACCAAAAGTAACAATAGGGAGCCGGCGGTAACTACAGAGGACAGCACCCAGACTGCCGACCCTCCACGGAACTCAAGAACTCAGTACAGTGCTGACTCATAGATGCCACAAAAGGCCTTTGGTTTAGCAGCATTTTATTATTTTTTTCTGGAATTTTTTTTATTCGCTTGCGTGCACTAGTTTGGGGATCTTCAGAGGATGTCATCCATAAAATGAAGTCAGTGTGGCCTTACTCATTCTATTTCTATACTTTTGTACTTACTTTCTGTCTTGAATCTAATGCAATAGATGAACTGTACAAAAGACTACATGTTTATTTTGATTTCTATACAACCTGTTTAGTGGCCACAATTGACATTTTTCTTCTTGTTTTTTTTTCAGGTACTCATTGTATGTTCCTCTCCATAAGTTGTGGCTCCAGTACATAAAGGATCATTTGCAACTTACACCCACAAGGTAAACAGGAGAGTTATTTCATTAATCACTCACCTCCAGTTGCCTCTTCTTTAATTATGAATTGATAATTATTTACCATTTCCAGTCCTCACAATGCTGTTGTCTTACAGCAACTTGACCTTGCTACAGAAAAAAATGCTGAAGGCTGACGTCCATGGAGCCCTGGTCACAGGTAAGTTTGTTTCTGTTACAAATATCTGTATCTGTATAGTCGGTATAACCGCCTTTCGGCGTAAAACACCAGCTTTGCAAGCACGCGGCGCGGCGGCAGCTGGCTATATTACACCGATCGACTTGTTACACCTAACCCTTGAACTTCTAGCTCTAGACATTGTTTAAAGCTATCTAATGACAATGTCCCTACTGTACTTGGTGACAGTGAGTTCCACTCTGCGATAGTTCTAGGAAAGAATGAATATCTGGAAATAAAAGTTTAAAGCCTTCTGCTAACACCTCCAGTTTAACCATCTTCCTGCTGCCAATCCTCATAACCAATACAAAATTTAGTGCCAAACAGCTACCTTTGCATGCTGAAGGTTAAAGTACTGTGGACAGGGGATTAACTTTATATCCCAGTTGGGGCCAGTTGTCAGTCCTAATTTGCTTAAAAGCCAGTTGCTGTATTGCAAGTTTTAGGAAACATCTTACCTTTGTCAGACCAAATATGACACAAAAAGAACACTTGTAGCTTATCATGTAGTTTCCTCTATTATATAACTCATGGGATCCTGAGGTGAAGCCAAAACATACTGTTAGAATGTAAAATGATGGTTTAATTTTCATGTTTATAAAAGAAAATCTGCAAAATCATAACACAGCAAATAGGTCTTTTGTATTTCAACCGTACTATAATAATGCTTCAAACTTCTATCTCAGCAAAAACCTTCTAATTTGTTGAAGTCCAGGGTGGAATGGATCATTTCATCACTTGATAAAGGCTGGATATGCCAGCCAAAAATTTGGCTCTTAGTCAAATTTCCTTCCGCGCTGGATCAAGAGTTAAACCCATCTCATCATCATTATTAGTTTTAGGTTCAACACAGTTGCCAAATATTCCAGTGTAAAATTCTGTCATGCTTTGAGCCAAGTTAAGTGGACAGGTTGTGAAAAAGCTCGCCCTTTTAAGACAGTTGATTCTTGTAAGGCCACAGCAAGTTATTTTTATGGATGACATCAGCGCACGCATTAATTTTCGCCTGATTTTGGGGGGAAAAAAACAAGAAATTTTGTTGCCTTCTGACAGTGGTCAACATGCCGAAAATGGGCAAAGATGTCTGTTGCCATGCCAGAATCTGGATGGCAGATAACTATAAAGAGAGGAGACAAGATTTTAAGGCTCTGATTCAATGTTTTGTTTCTTACTTTGATGCAGTGATATGTCATGTTGGCTGAATCAAAACCATTTGTACAATGATTGAGTCAAATTTTTAAAATGTAGGAACCTTGTTTTTTCGGCCCGCCTTGTTTTTTTTTTTCGCCCACTCGCATTAGATTTGGAGTCTGAGGAGGATGTCATCCATAAAATTCACTTGCTGTGGCCTAACATTACAGGTCTTACATAATGCTCCAGACATGTTGTTTATTAGTCCACATGTCTAAGTGACGTGGTGGGTTGAACTCATGACTTGTGTGGAATTGTTTCCCCAGTGTGTAAGTCCAGGTGCCCAGCCTATGTAGGGCTGACAGGGATCATTCTACAGGAGACCAAAAATGTCTTCAAGATCATCACCAAGGACGACAAACTAAAGAGTAAGGCTACTCAAATCCTTTACATTTCCTGACTGATTGATTGATTGATTGATTGATTGAAAAATGTCTTCAAGATCATCACTAAGGAGGACAAACAAAAGAGTAAGGCCACTCAAATCATTTACATTTCCTGACTGATTGATTGATTGATTGATTGATTGATTGATTGATTGAAAAATGTCTTCAAGATCATCACTAAGGAGGACAAACAAAAGAGTAAGGCCACTCAAATCATTTACATTTCCTGATTGATTGATTGATTGATTGATTGATTGATTGATTGATTGATTGATTGAGGCCTAGGAAAAAATCTTGTTTCCTGTTTCCCAACCGACCCTAGAAAAACCTGCTGACCCTAGACTTTTTTGGGTGGACATAATTTTTCAAGCTGATTAACCTTTTCTAGCTCCATGATCAAACATTGTACATTGGTTTTCTAACATCAATGTTGAGAATTAAAGTGTCCTCATGCAAGTTTTATTTTGTTAAACTGTATTTTATATCATACCCGGGCCGCGATAACGTTCGATAACGG